GCCCCCTGCCTTGCTACACCACTGATGCGGGAGAGGAGAGGTCCTTTGGAACAAAGCTTATTGTGCCACTGTAACCACCGCCAGGCAGATTTGAACCTGGGCTTGGTATAGGAGCCTCTACCTTTGGCCCCCTGCCTTGCTACACCACTGATGCGGGAGAGGAGAGGTCCTTTGGAACAAAGCTTATTGTGCCACTGTAACCACCGCCAGGCAGATTTGAACCTGGGCTTGGTATAGGAGCCTCTACCTTTGAGTTAAAAGCTGGCTGCCTCTCAGCACAGGCTGTAGAGGTCTCTTGTTCTTACCTGTTGCTGTGGTGTAGGTGCCACTGTATGGGACAGTGAACCACTCTAGGTGTGTGGGTTACACCAGTTCATTGCCTTTTAGTTCCTCTCTGCAGCGCCAAGGGGAAGGGGTGATGGGGATGCATTGTACTGAGCTGCTGGCAGGGGTGGGGGAAATGCGTCTCCAGGTTCAGCTGCCCTCCCCGCTGGAGCACCCTGGGGAGGCTGCCGGAGAGGAAATGAACTAGGAGAGCGGGATGTGGAAGTGATTTTTTTTTTTTCTCCCTGCCCAAACCCAACCCCGAACTTGAAACTGCCCTGGGTCTCACCGGAGCTGCCCCAGCCACACCCTTTTCCCACCAGTGCTAGGGCGCATGTGCAGAGCGGCTGTTAACATCCAGGCACGGCTCTGAACATTAAATTTGACAGGCACGTACTGCCTCCCCGATCCCCTTCGCAGGGCAAAGTCCTTGACATTTTTTGCCAAATTTCACTCGTGTTGACGTACAGACTTCTCTTGCGTACTCCTAAGGGTACGTGTACCGCTGGTTGAGAAACACTGTTCTAGACCCTGCACCATCTGGGTCCAGCCTGATTCTGATCTGGTAACATTCTTCCCTCCACTGCCACCATGTCCCCCCCATACGGTATGCTTCAGCCCTCCTTACAGTTGAAATTAACACCTTGAACTTCTCTGCAGAAAGCATCCACAAACTGAAGGAGAAAGCAAAGAAGAGGAAAGGCCGAGGATTTGGTTCAGGTGAAGATTTTGCTCTGAACACTAGTTCAGTGGTCCCCAACCTTTTTGGGCTCCTGGGCGGGGGTGGGGCCACGCATGCGTCACGCGCCCGGGGTGGGGGCCACGCATGTGTCAGGGCCTGAGGCGCAAGAAAGGCTCGGGCCGGCCCTGATCACTAGGTGGGCGCCATGGCGTCTGCGGGCACCATGTTGGGGACCACTGCTCTAGTTACTGTGTGTGTAAATTATAAGGGGCCTCCTGTGGCTGTGTAGCTAATTGGAATGGACTGGCTGCTTCTAAACAGGAACTGCCCAGTGGCTTTAGCCCCAGGAGTGTGTTCTAGGACCTTGCCTCGGTTTCCCTAGTCTGTAAAATAGACATACAACTGAGTGACATGACTTGACCGAGCTCACCAAGAGTCTGACTCGTATCACAGTTTTACATATATTAGACCTGTGTAATTCTAGCGTTTTTTTTTGTGCTGTAAAACTTAAATGCCAGGATGTTTCTATGCACCTTGGAGGTAATAGGGATGTAAAAAGTCCTTTAAAAATGGAACCATGTAATCGCTAAAAATCCTAGCAGTTACTTAGTTATACCGCAGAGTCCGCGATGGGTGTGAAGCTTAAATAAGCTTAATTCTGCAGAGCCCGGAGTGAAGCCTCCCCAGGAGGCAGTGTGTAACCTCTGCCAGGGGGTGGGTCGGGGCATGGACAGGGGCTGCTGTGGCCGGCCAGCAGGAGCAGCTCCCTGCCCAGTGTGGGTGGGGGGTTGCTCCAGCCCCTATTGGGTAACCGTTTATATTCCTAGCTTACAACAGCTTGAGTACGTGTCTACGTTGACTTGGACTGTAAACTCTTGAGGGCGGGAATTGTCTGCTACTGTACAGTGCTTCCTACAATGGGGCTGCATTCCTGGCTGGTCCCTAAGCACAAGCACAAGTAATACATATTTTTACTCCTCGAAAATAATCTTTTGTCTGCCCCTGTTGTGTGCCTAGAGGAAGGCTCAAGGGCCAGAGTTCGGGAGGACTATGACAGCGTGGAACAAGATGGGGATGAACCTGGGCCTCAGAGATGTGAGTATCTGTGAGAGGGGTGGTCACCCAGCCTTGGCCCATCATGCTGTGGGGCTGCTTTAAGGAGGAAGAGAAACCAATTTGGTTATGGGAGAGAATGAGGTACAGTGGATAGAGCTGGGCTGGGACTCAGGAGACTTGGGATCTATTTCCCTGCTCTGCCACAGGCCTGTGGGATGACCTTGGGCAAGTCCCTTCAACTCTTTGTACTTTGGCTTTCTCATCTGTAAACTTTTTTGGAGATCAACTGATTAAAAGTGCTGGGTACGAATTAGGCACTAAGGATGCTAAGAGGCAGGTAATGGACTAATTGTGTAGTCGATACAAATTGTATCGACTACACGATTAGTCGAGAAGGGAAGGTGGTCAGAAGAAGCTGCGGTGCTGCAACTGAAATGTAGTAGGAGTGGAGTGCGCAGGCAGCCCGGCTCTTGCTGCATTGAAGCTGCAACGGGGGTAGATCCCGGACCAGCACAAACCGGAACACAGCCAGGACTGCTGCGGCTCTGCATTTTAAATGGAGTAAGAGCCGGGTGGCTCTTGCTACATTCAATATACAGAGCCACAGTAGTCCTGCTGCGGTGCTGCAACTGAAATGTAGTAGGAGTGGAGTGCGCAGGCAGCCCGGCTCTTGCTGCATTGAAGCTGCAACGGGGGTAGATCCCGGACCAGCACAAACCGGAACACAGCCAGGACTGCTGCGGCTCTGCATTTTAAATGGAGTAAGAGCCGGGTGGCTCTTGCTACATTCAATATACAGAGCCACAGTAGTCCTGAGCCGAGACTGAGCCAGACTTGCTCAGTCCTGGCTCCCATC